CATTATGTCTTGTCAGGATATTGCTGTCTCCATTCCAAAATAGTTTCTGCAAATCCCTGCTGCAAAGGGATCTCTTGCTTACAGTTGTACTTAAAAAACAAAAAAAGGGGGGAGATGTCAGAGGCATTGACCGGCATAACGCCATCTGTTGCTGTTTCCACAGTGGGATCTGGGAACACGAAGTGTGGTATAGGCAAGAAGGGACTACACCATATGGGTATAGACAAAATTTATTGAAACATCACATGCTTATATACAGCACACAAGCAGGAGAAGTAAATCTTCAGTTAGGGGCAGAGAGTTAAACAGTTTTATGGGAGCACACACAATGAGAGTTTAAGCAGGAAAAGCTAATCTTTGTCAACAAATGTGGAGCAGTTCCACTAATCAAGGTTGTAAAAGTAGGTAAAGCACAGGTGAGTACACATGGGGGGGGGGGTCTCCAGGCATTGTTCTACGGGGCTAAGTAGATGAAGCACGAATGGCACTTTGAGCAAACCCTTACCTGAGTCTGGCACCGGGGCAGAACCTTTGCCCAGCATTGAGGAAGGGGTGTCCCTTCCTCCCTCAGAAGAATTGGAAGTGGTGCTGTGGCTCAGGTGGTAGGGTGTTTGCCTTGAGCTGAAGAGCTGAGGGACAGCGCCCAGGCCCAGAGCCAACCCCATGACCAACAAAAATAAATAAATTGGAAGGAAGGAATGCATGCCTGCATGCACCCTCAGGGCACACAGGTGCTCAGATGGGGTTTTGCAGGTCTATGCCTCCAACACCCATCTGAACCCCTCTCCTTCTGCTCCCGCTCCAGCTCCCAGATCTTAGGCAGATTGGGTGGAAGGGGGCTGTGTCAGTCCTGGAGTTTTTCTCCGCCTCTGGCTGTGCCTGAGCAGCTGCAGGAGCCCTGGCCCACGCTGCACGAGGCAGCAACAACTGCTGCAGTCGCTGCTGCAAGTTTGGCCATTTGGCTCCACTCCTGCCTGGTGGCCCTGACACTGGAGGAGTCTCGCTGGCTCTTTTGCTGTTTCACACTGCACTTCCAGCCTAGGGATGAGCCCAGAAAGCTCAGCCCTGGAGCCTTTGAGGCCTGAGGTCGGCAGCTTGAGGGATTTGGAGGGGCTGCCTTGCCTGCAGGGTCTGGCCTGAGGAGCCTGTGCCCCAGCCATGGCTGCTTGCTGCTTCTCACTGCAGCTCAGAAGAAGTGGTGGTGGCGCTGGCCTGTAGCCGGCTTGCTTGCTCCCTCCGAGGCTCTTACAGTTGTGTTACTGGCAGAACAAAATCCCAACTGCTCTAGTACTATTTTATTGTATTTAAAAATAAAAGACTTCATGGGCCCCATAAGTGCTTTGTAAAATATGACTGGCAGCCCGCTATTTAAATAAATGTGAGAATTCATGAGTTCATGAGTTTATTACCTTCCTAAGTGATCTTTTTTTTTTTTTTGGTCTGTCTTGGGACTTGAACTCTGGGCCTGGGTGCTGCTGTCCCTTAGCTCTTCAGCTAAAGGCTAGCACTCTACCACTTGAGCCACAGCACCACTTAAGTTTTCTGGTGGTTTCTGGTTGGAGATAAGAGTCTCATGGACTTTCCTGCATGGGTTGGCTTTGAATCTCGATCCTTAGATCTCAGCTTCCTGAGTGGCTAGGATTACAGGCTGGAGCCACTGGCCTGAGTTCACTAAGTGATCATTTTTAAGGCTAAGCATGATAGATAACTTCTGTAGTCCCATCTACTTGGGAGGCATAGATTGAGAGGATTGCAATCCAAGACCAACCCAGGCTAAAAGTGAGATCTGATTCCAATAATCTCAGCTAGATGGGAGGCTTGTCCTGGGTTGGGAAGAAAACAGGATGCCCTAACTTAAAAACTAAAGTACAAAAAGGCCGTGGTGTGGATTAAGAGTTAAACACCTGCCTAAGCATGAAATCCTTCATATAAACCCTAGTACTGAGAAAAGGAGGGAGGGAGGAAAGCAGGAAGGGATATAGGAGAGGGAGAGAGATATTATTTCATTAATTTTATATTTTTCCTAACACCATTCATTTTGAGTTTCTTTTGCTCAAGACTAGCACTCTGCCACTCAAGATTCAGTACCACTTCCAGCCTTTCCTCTTTATGTGGTACTGAAGAACCAAACCCAGGACTTCATGCATGTGCTCGGCCAGCACTCTATTTACTAAGCCACATTTTCAGTCCTTATTTTATTTTGGAAGATGTGGTTTTGTTTTGTGTTCTTCTGTTGGTGTGGAACTTAGGCTAGTCTCAACCTAACTTCTGACTCAGCCTCCTAAATTCAGAGATTGTAAACATAGACCACCATACTCAGCTCAGGATTCCTTGTGAGAGAATCATCTTTTCAGAGACAGAGTTATTCTGTCTTCCTTGGATTGGATGGCCTTTTGCTTCTGGCATTGTGTTAATCCCATTTCTTGTCATGGTATATTTCTCCTTCTAGATCAATAGAAAATTTTCAGGTTCCCAACTTGAAGCCTATTGGTGTCATCCAATAATATCACAAAACTTGTGAATACCATTACCTGGCATCATGGGTGAAAGACCCCAATAACCTAGGATGCTTTCATCAACGGGAGGGTGCCCCAGAAACCCAGACTCCAAGCCAGTAGATGCAATGAGCAAGAGGAGTTTATTGAACGTTTGCACAAATGGGCTCTCTGCCTCGGGAGGAGGGAGGAGCCCTGAGCAGCGGTTACAGGCATTTTTAAAGGCAAAAACCACAAAATTAATATTTAACACAGGGTGCCCTGTGATTGTCCCACTTAAAGGTCACTGTACGTCACCCCTGAGGAATTTTTAGCCGGGAAATGACAGTAAGGAGTGGGGTTGTTCTCAAAAAACCCGTCTTGTTTGTTCCTTGACTGAAACCACCAAAATCACAGACTGTTTCATGACCTAATCCTGGGTCCAACACCTGGACTTTAAACTTTACCTGCTTCCTTGTTTCCATGGAGGGGGCCCTTGTATTTATTAAAATCATTCAATGGGCATGCCAGCCAGCTAGAACTCAGCTATCAGATGGGCTTGGGCTCCAACAATGCAGGCATTTCTCTGCACAATCTGAAAACTGTCATAGATAATGTTGGCTTTTTCCATCCTGTTTTCAGCTGCTTGCCATTCTGAGTGTTGTATGTTTTTGCTTTCTTTTATTTATTTATTTATTTATTTTGAGTTATAAGCCTTGATCTCTGGGCTTGGCTTGGGTGATGTCCCTGAGCTTTTCAGCTCGAGGCTAGCACTCTGCGACTTGAGCCACAGAGCCACTTCTGGTTTTCTGGTGGTTTATTGGAGATAGGAGTCTCACGGACTTTCCTGCCCAGGCTGGCTTTGAACCACGATCCTCAGATCTCAGACTTCTAAGTAGCTAGGATTACAGGTGTGAGCCACCTGCACCCGGCCTTGAATGTATCTTGAAAAGAGAAGACAGGACTAGGTCAAGAGACACACAGTATCAAAAGGGGGATGGGAGGGATCGGGAGTCCTGACTGATCAGTGGATCCATATAAAGTCTGACAGACTTACTCCAAACATGAAGGAACATCTTCAGTCTGGATGTGGAATGCCTATAAACATTGTCAGGGACATGAAAGGAGCAGGGTTGGGATGAGGGTTTTAGGGAGCACTGTGGGATGAAGTGTCATTAAAAACTCTCAGCTCTGACAGCACAGATCAAGTGTGTGTCTTGGGAGTCCCCTGTTGTGCTGTGGCAATGCTTTTCCTGTGTATGTCTGCCTAGAGGGGGAGGTGTTTGCTCCTCATTTGTCATTAATTCTAGAGGACAGAGGAGCCCCATGAGTCCAGTAAACAGAAGCTTTCTGGCAGCTTCTCACAGTGTTCCCTCCAGGTAGCACCAGGCTCTTTACTTGCTCTGATGAGGCAGCTGCATATGGGTCTGCAGGAATTTCCTGTCAAGAAATTAGAGAGTCATTCATTCATTACTCTAGAACAAAGAGTGGCAATGCCTAACTATAGGTTGCTTTGTTATTCCAATGTGTGTGCTGCTGGCACTGGCTTGTCTCTTCAGTCTGCACAGGCTCCGGCCAATACCATAGTCAGCTCAGACACACCAGCTTACACCCAGTCACTACTCAGAATGTGATGTCAAAGCTACTCCTGGTAATAGATGACAAGGCTGTTTAAGTCAGAATAAGATCACAGCAGTATGCACTATGATATCTTTTTGCTTCTCTGATTTAACAGCTTCTAAGCTAGTGTTTCCTGGCTTCCTATCCTTGTGGCCTAGTATGAGAGCCATCTAGGATGTTGCAATGCATCAGCCAGGGGAAGGGTGTCTATAGTCAGAGTATGACACAAAAAATAGCATCTGTGGTGGAGGTAAGACTTGGTGTTCGATTATAATTAAGCTCTTGCTGCAAGGCTGGGAGCCATGGAAATGGACTACCATTGTGAAATGGACATGGGATAATTTAGGAGACAACAAGGATCTGAGTAGCTCTCACCTGTAATCCTAGCTACTCAGGATGCTATGCTCTGAGTACTGAGGTTCAGAGACAACCTAGGCAGAAATATCAAGAGAGTTTCTTTCTTCTAATTTCCTAGCAAAAAGCTGGAACTAGAGCTGTGGCTGAAGTACTAGCCATAAGAAAAAGAGCTAAAGGTCAGCACTGAGGCCTTTTGTTCAAACCACAATGCTAGCATGAAAAAAATGAGAAAGACAGAAGAAGGGAAATTACAAGAGAAATTACAAGGGAAATTACAAGAAACTTACCTTGAAGAATTAGACCTCTAATTATCTTTCTTTTTTATTAGCAAGTATTAGTTGTACAAGAAGGAGGTTGTGAAGTTCCCATACATGTATACAATGTATCACAGTCATACCCTCTCCATCAACTACCCAGACTTATTTCCAGTTAACACTAAAAAGCCAGAAGCAGTGAGGTAGCTCAAGTGGAAGAGTCCCAGCCTTGAGCAAAAAACTGAAGGGACATTACCAGGTCCTGAGTTGAAGCCCTAGTACTGAAAGACCCCAGCCCGTGCTTGCCCACTAGGTACCCCAAGAAAGTTGCTGCCCCTTACCCTGCATACCTAAGGGGGTGGTGGGGCAGGATAAGTGCAGGCCGCTAACCAGGAAACGAAACCTCGAGCCTCTGAGTCACCGCCTGCAGACCCTAGCCTGACCCTAGTACATGCCTTAAAGCCAGACATTCCTAGAAAATAGCCGACCCACCTGTCCCTTCCTGTAAAACTTAACCCTAATGGCAGGGTAGGGCAGGATGTAATAAATCACTTGTCAAAATTAGGGAACAAACAGTTTCGGTGCATAACGACCCGCACAGACTTGTCCGGGCAAGTACCGACACGTCAGCTTTCCCCCCAACCCCACCTACCCCATCTGGCTAGCTTAACCTGACCAATCCTCACCCTGAGCGTAATTTGAAATTAACCAATCATCCCCCTGTAACCACGCATCTCGCTTCTGTAACCTCGCTTCTGCTGTCCATAAAAAGAGGGTGCTTTCAAGCACTCGGCGCGCAAGTCTCCCGATAGACTTTGTCGCCCCGGGTACCCGTGTAACCGGTTCTCAGACACTTGACTCGAACCTTGTGGATCTCGTGGTTAAGTGCACCTGGGAGCCGAGGCATGCCCGAATAAACCTCTTGCTGATTGCATCCGCACAAGTGGTCTCGTTGTTCCTTGGGGAAGGGTCTCTTCTGATTGAAGGACACCCCAAGTCTTCGGGGGTCTTTCATGTGGGGGCTCGTCCGGGATAGAGACCCCCCACCCAGGGACCACCGACCCATTTTCGGGAGGTAAGCTGGCCAGCATCTGTGTGTCGTCTGTGTGCGGTCTGTAAGTTGTCTGAAGTCTTGTGTGGCCAATTTCTGTGCGCTTGCGAATCTGGTGAGTTCGGCCGTTCTCGTCTGTATCAGGCGGACCCGTGGAGGAGCTGACGAGCTCGTACTCCCGACCGCGGTCCCCAGGAGACGTCTTGGGGGCTTCTGGGAGCCTGAAAAAGTGGCTCATCGGAGGGCCTGAAAAAGTGGCCCATCTGGAACCCGGTCCTTTTGGACGCGTGGTTCATCAGGGGAGACGAGAGATCCGGACTCTCAATAAAGTCTCCATCGGGTTTTGCTTTCAGTTTGTGAGCAAAAACGCGCAGCGAAGCTAAGTGTTGTCTGTCTCGTGTCTGTGTTCGTTAAAGTCTTAAAATGGGACAAACTGTCGCGACCCCACTTAACCTTACTTTACAGAACTGGAAAGATGTGCAAACATCAGCTCACAATCTTTCAGTAAAAGTTAAAAAAAGAAAATGGATAACCTTTTGTTCATCAGAATGGCCCACTTTTAATTGTGGATGGCCACGAGAAGGAACCTTTAACCTAACCATTGCCTTACAGGTTAAGGCCAAAGTCATGGATCCGGGACCGCACGGACACCCAGACCAGGTCCCCTATATTGTCACTTGGGAGGCTCTTATTTCTGATCCTCCCCCGTGGATAAGACCCTTCCTACCCGCCCCGGCGCCCCAAGTCCCTATTCCCTTGACCCTTCCATCTGCACCGTCCCCGCCCCTTCCGTCCTTGGCTCCCCAACCCCAACTCCCTCCTCCTCACCTCCCCTCTCCAGCTCCCCAACCTCCCTCACATTCCTCACTTTACCCAGCCCTTGTTCCCCTAGAAAGTGAAAAACAGGTGCCCCCGGAGAAAGGCAGGCCTGCCACCCCAAAGGTTCTGCCACCAGGGGAAGAAGTTCTCCTGGATTTGTTGACGGAAGAACCGCCTCCCTATCAGGGACATGCTCAACAGCCTCAGGAAGCAGCGGCTGCCGCCCCTCCACCGCCTGCCGACCCTGCACCATCCCCGGTGGCCGGTCGACTCCGCGGACGCCGAGAGCAGGTCCCGGACTCTATCTCCACCTCTCAGGCGTTTCCTCTGCGTGCAGGGACGAACGGCCAGCTGCAATATTGGCCCTTTTCGGCCTCAGACTTGTATAATTGGAAAACTAACAACCCTCCCTTTAGTAAAGACCCCTCAAAACTAACCTCTTTAATTGAATCTATCTTAGTGACTCATCAACCAACTTGGGACGATTGCCAGCAAATATTACAGGTGCTGTTGACTACCGAGGAAAAACAGCGTGTTTTCCTCAAAGTGAGAAAGAACGTCCCTGGGGACCACGGGCGTCCCACTCAACTGCCAAATGAGATAGACGCTGCTTTTCCTTTGGAACGGCCCAATTGGGACTTCAATACGGATGCAGGTAGGAACCACCTACGCCTTTACCGCCAGTTGCTGATAGTGGGTCTCCAAGGGGCCGCCCGGCGGCCCACCAATTTGGCTCAGGTAAAGCAAGTAGTTCAGAGGGTAGAGGAGTCGCCTTCGGCTTTTCTTGAGCGTCTTAAGGAGGCGTATCGCATTTACACTCCTTACGACCCTGAGGATCCAGGGCAGGCTACGAATGTTGCTATGTCTTTTATTTGGCAATCGGCTCCTGATATCAGAAAGAAGCTAGAGAGACAGGAGGATCTTCAGACATTGTCCCTCCAGGACTTGCTTAAGGAAGCCGAACGCATTTATAATAAGAGAGAGACTCCAGAAGAAAGAGAGGAAAGGCTGAGGAAGGAAGCTGAAGAGAGAGAAAGCGTACGTGATCGCAAAAGAACAAAGGAGATGAGTAAGCTATTGGCCACCATAGTATCAGGGCAGCGACAGGAGCAGGGAAAACAGAGGGGAGACAGACCGGGCCACCCATTGGAAAAAGACCAGTGTGCATACTGTAAGGAAAAAGGACACTGGATGAGAGACTGTCCAAAAAAACCCTGGGGACATCGGAGACCAAGACCCCAGACATCCTTGCTAACCCTAGACGATTAGGGGGGTCCAGGCCAGGAGCCCCCCCCTGAGCCTAGGATAACTCTGGAAGTTGGGGGGCAACCCGTCACCTTCCTGGTGGATACGGGGGCCCAACACTCGGTATTGACCACGACCCCCGGACCCCTGAGTGACCGATCAGCCTGGGTGCAAGGAGCCACTGGAGGGAAGCGGTATCGGTGGACCACCGATCGAAGAGTGCAACTGGCCACCGGTAAGGTAACACATTCCTTCTTGCATGTTCCCGACTGCCCTTACCCTCTACTGGGAAGAGACTTGTTAACCAAATTAAAGGCACAAATTCATTTTGAGGAGACAGGGGCACGCATTACTGGACCCAAGGGACAGCCATTGCATGTACTGACCCTCGGAATAGAGGACGAGTACAGGTTGTATGAACAAGAACAGGACAAAGAGGACGCCCACATACGACCTTGGGTGCGAAAGTTCCCGCATGCGTGGGCGGAGACGGGAGGCATAGGCTTAGCCGTCCACCAGGCTCCTTTAGTTATCCAACTAAAGGCCGCTGCCTCCCCTGTGTCTATAAAACAATACCCGCTGTCCCAAGAGGCCTGTCGGGGAATTCGTCCTCACATAAAGAGACTGTTAGATCAAGGAATACTAACCCCCTGCCAGTCTCCCTGGAATACTCCACTCCTCCCGGTCAAAAAGCCGGGAACTCAAGATTATAGACCAGTACAGGACTTGAGAGAAGTAAATAAGCGGGTTGAGGACATTCACCCCACGGTCCCTAATCCATACAACCTACTGAGCAGTTTGCCCCCCACTCATATCTGGTATACTGTCTTGGACTTGAAGGACGCGTTTTTCTGCTTACGAATCCATCCCAATAGCCAGCCTATTTTTGCCTTTGAATGGAAGGATCCAGAGCTGGGAGTGTCGGGGCAATTGACTTGGACTAGACTGCCCCAGGGGTTTAAGAACAGCCCCACACTGTTTGATGAGGCATTACATCGGGACCTAGCCGACTTTAGAATTCAACATCCCACGTTAATATTGCTCCAGTACGTAGATGATCTCCTGCTGGCAGCCCAGACACAGGAGGACTGCAACTCAGGGACTGAAGATCTCCTGCAGGCCCTGGGTGCCATCGGCTACAGGGCCTCCGCCAAAAAGGCGCAAATTTGTCAGAAACAAGTAACGTATCTAGGATATCAGATCAAGGACGGGCAGAGGTGGCTGACAGAGTCTCGCAAACGGGCAATTATGGATATTGCCCCACCCCAGAGTCCAAGACAGTTGCGGGAGTTTCTAGGAACAGCTGGATTCTGCCGACTGTGGATTCCCAGCTTCGCGGAGATAGCCGCCCCTCTGTACCCGTTAACAAAACCAGGGACGCTATTTGTCTGGGAAGAGATCCAACAAAAAGCCTTCCAAAACATTAAGGAGGCGCTCTTACACTCCCCGGCTTTGGGGTTGCCAGATCTAACCAAACCTTTTGAGCTGTTTGTAGATGAAAAGCAAGGATATGCAAAAGGAGTCCTGACCCAGAAGCTGGGGCCTTGGAGACGTCCTGTGGCCTATCTCTCCAAAAAGCTGGATCCGGTTGCTTCCGGATGGCCCCCGTGCCTGCGGATGGTCGCGGCGATTGCAGTCCTGGTAAAAGACTCGGGTAAGCTTACCCTAGGCCAGCCACTTGTCATCCTGGCCCCACATGCCGTAGAGGCCCTGGTCAAACAACCACCAGACCGATGGCTCTCTAACGCCCGCATGACCCACTACCAAGCCATGCTCCTAGATAAAGACAGAATACAGTTCGGGCCTGTAGTAACTCTGAACCCCGCTACCCTGCTGCCACAACCGGGGGAGGCGGAGCCCCATGACTGCTTGCAGATCCTGGCCGAAGTACATGGAACTCGACCGGACTTGACCGACCAGCCCCTCCGGGATGCTGATTTCACTTGGTATACAGATGGGAGCAGCTTCTTGGACCATGGTGAGAGGAAGGCCGGAGCTGCTGTCACCACCGAGACTGAGGTAGTTTGGGCGGAGGGACTTCCGCCTGGGACGTCAGCACAGCGTGCCGAGCTGATCGCCCTGACCCATGCACTCAAAATGGCAAAAGACAAGAGACTTAACGTCTACACCGATAGTCGCTACGCTTTTGCTACGGCCCATGTGCATGGAGAAATCTATCGCAGGCGGGGCTTACTGACCTCAGAGGGCAAGGAAATTAAGAACAAGCCGGAAATTCTGGCCCTATTGGAGGCCTTGTTCTTGCCCCAAAAACTGAGCATTATACACTGTCCGGGACACCAAAAAGGACAGACCCCGGAAGCGAGAGGCAATCGACTGGCTGACAGGGCGGCCCGGGAGGCAGCGCTAGCCGGGACTCCAACCACCCCGGTCCTCCTCCCCATGACAACCAAGCCACAAACAAAGAGACTCAGTCCGCTCCCCTACAGTCCAGAGGACATGAACGATCTAAAGAAAATGGGGGCCACCTTTGACCCTGAGAGAGGGGCTTGGACTAACGATGGGAAGACTGTTTGGCCAAGAAAGTGGACCCGTCAAATGATAGACCGCCTCCACAAACTAACCCATCTTAGCAACCGGAAAATGAAGACCCTCCTTGAGCGTGAGGAAGGGCTAATGCATCTTCTGGGAAAAGAGGACAGCCTACAAGCAGTGACAGATCAATGCACAATATGTGCCCGTGTCAACGCTGGAAAGACCAAAATAGGGCCAGGAGTGCGGGTACGAGGACAGCGACCTGGGACTCACTGGGAAATCGACTTCACGGAGATTAAGCCTGGACAGTATGGTTACAGATATCTCCTAGTATTTGTGGACACCTTCTCAGGCTGGGTAGAGGCTTTCCCTACCAAACATGAAACCTCCAGAGTGGTAACAAAGAAGCTGATGGAAGAAATTTTTCCCCGATATGGTATGCCACAGGTATTAGGGACTGATAATGGGCCTGCGTTCGTCTCCCAGGTAAGTCAGTTGGTGGCCAAACTGTTGGGGATTGATTGGAAATTGCACTGTGCTTACAGACCCCAGAGCTCAGGGCAGGTAGAAAGAATGAATAGAACGATTAAGGAGACTTTAACCAAATTAACACTTGCAACTGGCTCAAAGGACTGGGTGTTCCTCCTGCCCCTTGCCCTTTACCGCGCTCGCAATACCCCTGGCCCACATGGCCTCACCCCTTTTGAAATCTTGTACGGAGCTCCCCCGCCGGCTGTCAATTTTCTTGACCCTCATATATCTGACTATGCTAAT